CCATCTGCACCATCTTTAGCCTCATAACCTTCCAGTGAAGTAGATCCTTTAATAGCTGGCATTGTGTGTGTGTGTGTGTGTGTGTATGTGTGTGTGTGTACCCGCGCGCATGCATCATGGAGAGTGGAGAGTGGGACCTGCCTAAATCTCAAGCTACAGCAGATCCACTGGTTTTCCACCTCCATGTCCTTGAATAACCTCTGTCTGAATTCTGGGTTGGCCGTTCTCCCTGCCTCTTCCCGCTGCCGCTCTTGCAACTGCTGCCACCGGCACCGGGTTTGTTGCCTTTGGGAGCGATCCCACACTCCACAGTAAGATTTTTTCAAAGAATCCGGGCGAACATCGCGGCACTCGAGAGACGCACAAGATGAGAGGCCGGGTGCTGCTACCCACCAGCCGAGGCTCCACTGCTGCACGGTGAACTTGGGAGACACGGAGGAAAGGAGGCCCACAAGCCAGGCTCACAGGCATTGATTCTGACCCTCAAGACACGGGTGCCAGGTAACACAGGCCCCAGGGCCTGGGAGCACAACCACGGTGTCTGTAAGAGACATGAGGCGTGGGTGCTGTCTTCCAGTGGCTACTGGGCTGGCTACCTCCTGTTCTCTCACCGGAACTTCTGAACCCCACCATGACCATGCGGAGCCCTGGTGAAAGCACCCAGAAGCGAACTGACAGCTCAGTGGTTTGAACCCCCCCTCCACTCCATGGGAGACAGATGCGGCAGACAGCTTCAGTAAAGATGGACAGCCTTGGGACCCCACGGGGCAGTGCTAACCCGTCCTCTACAGACAGTATGATTGGAATCCACAGGGTGGGTTTGGGGAATTAAAATCTGATAGGACCACAGAAATCTATGTGGTTGGATGTCATCTAAATGGGCATTAGGGGCATCAAGTTTTTCCTGAAAAGAATCTATGTTGACGCCCACTCTACTTTCCTGGGTTGAAAACAGAGTTAAAACCCATCTGTGTAGGAACAAGGAGAGAAAGCCCCATCACTGCGAGAAAGACCCCCTAAAGATCCCCATAGCCTAAGCCTTGTGAAAGACACTCGGGAACGAGACGGCAGTGTGGCTGCGCCGTCGAGCAGGGCGGTTTTTATAGCCTGTGGGTTCTGCCTCAGTTCTTTAAGAGCTCACAGAATACGATTTCAGATGACAAAAATGATAATAACGTGGAGGTGATAAAGGACTGGTGCAGACCGGCAGGACGCATAGATGGACAGGCATGAAGAGGTACACGAGTCAGATTTGACTGGATGGCAGAGTTTGGAGAGCTCTTAGGCAGATTATCAGTGCAGGGAAATCTAAATATGTATGCATGCCTGCGCACGCGCGCACGCACACACACACATTTAAGACATAAGGAGCTCAGAAAGACTGCAAGACAGAACCTTGTCTCTTCCTCTCCTTGAAAAATTGGAAGGAGAACAACACTTCCATTTGCGAAGCATTAGCGTGGACATCATCTGATTTCATCCTGAAAGCCGGCCGGGGAGAGAGGGGCCAGTTTGCAGTTTGCACCAGGGCAGAGCTGAAGGTCACAGGCTCGGAACCAGCACCAGCTCCCTCTCCGGGTCGCCACTGTGTGGAAGGCTCAGTAAGAGCAGCAGAAACATATTTAGGAGAGAGAGAAAAACCCTAACTAACCAGCAGCTGCGATCTCCACCGGCACCGTCTGGGCGATAAAAATAAACACCGTGCAGGCTGGCCAGCGCACTCTCTGGGTCCGCGGGCAGCAGGCTGGACTCACCTTACAGACGGCTCTAGGCGGGTCAGTAGGCAGCTGGTGTGGGCTGAGGCCTAGTGGCCTTGCCCCTGGGTGAGGGCACTGCTCGGTCACTCAGCCCCAAAGCTACATGAGACCCTCCCAGACAGGGGCAGTCTCACCGGCTACAGGAAGTCTCTCTCTTCCCCAGAGGGGAAACCAAGGGAGGAGAAGACAGTCCCGGAGCACACACTGGGAGGAAGGCTGGGTGCTGGGGTCTGGCCAGGTTGGGAGGCCACAGCATGTGGTGGTCCGCAGCTTGGGCTCTGGGGTCACAGACAAGGTGGCCCACATTCCCCAAAGGTAAGGCAGGGAGAGAGGAACCCCAGTCCCTGACAGCACAGCCCCCCTGCTCGCAGGACCCTTCATGCTGCCCATGATGGAGACCTGGAAGGACCAGTGACCCTGCCAAGGTCAGTCCTCCCAAGGCCCATGCTGGCCAGAGAGCCCAGGGTGTCTGTAGCTTGGGGGCTGGCTGGGCCTCCCCCAGGGAGCACCTCAGGTCAGACGGAGAGGGAGCTGGCTACCGGCAGCAGCTGAGCGATGGCCTTTCCCTTCCCTCCTCCCCTTACCCCACCCCCCTGCCGGTGCAGCAGCTTCAACTGCAGCAAACTCCTCTGGGCCAGAGGCTGCGGCAGGGAAAAAACCCTTACACACAGCGTGGAGGAGGGAGCTGGAAGCCACCTCCACCATTTGGTGTGTGTGAGTGGGAGCGGGGAGGACATCCCCATGACCTTGACACACTGAGTCCCTCACTCGGGGCCTGCAGCCATGCTGGGTGGGGACAGAGCGGTCTGCCAGGCCTCACCCACTGCCCTGCCCTTTCCAGCCCTAGAGGGCAGGGGGGGATAGGGGGGGATGTCAAGGCTGCGCCCTGGGTCGGTCATCAGGAGTCTTTCTGCAGGAGCAGGCGGGGCTGCACACACACACACACCTGCAGTGGGGAGGAGCAGGGAACTGGGGGTGGGGGGGGTCCAAGCTGGGAGCAGAAGAAAGACCTGGGCCCTTGCCCTCTGCTAATGGTCAGGCTGCCGTGCATCAGACACTGCCTGGCCTCGGAGGGCACAGGGCTCACGCTGCCTGCACAGCTCCTGCCCGCCCGCCGGGTGGGCTCCAGACCAGGGAGCAAAGCATCGATTGGTGTTGGGCCATCAGAGTGGCACCAGGCCACCTCCCCAGAATGCTTGTCCACTGTGTGTCCTTCTGGTCCCCAAGTCCAAGAAGCCCAAGAAGCACCCCGATTCCGGAGGCCTCTGGGCCGTGGGCATGAGCTTTGGACTAGGAGGCCAGACCGCAGGCCACTTGTTGGCCTCTGGCTGTCTCAGCCAACTGGCGGTGGGCTGAACTGGGCCCTAACCCCACCAGTCGAGCTGCCCAGAGACCTGCCCTGTGGCCTCCCCTTGCCTCGGGGCTGAAGGCTCAGAGCCCATCTGGATGAAAAGCACACTGGTCAGGGGACTGGAAGCAACGGGAGTCTCGCTCACCCTCAAAACCCAGGCCCCTGCCAAGGCAGGGCCAGACAGAAGGTAGGCTTAAACCAGAGCTCAGGCCTCTGTCCCTCTGGCCCCAGGCAGTGGCGCCCAGGAGCCCCCTCACCCCCACCCCCACCCCTGTCGTCTCTCTCCTGGGCCAACCAACCTGCCAGGCCTCCGCCTGCCTTCCTGCCTTGTTTTCCTCTCGGCAAAGTCCAAGAGTACTTTTGCTAAGACAACAGGCCTGTAGGGCCCTCCTTTGTCTGACGCTGGTGGGGGGGCTTATACACAGCACGGATACCTGCTTTCCTTTCCCCAGACAGGCAGCAGGACTCTGGACAGTGTGCCGCCAGTGGAAAGCTCCGGGCTCCACTCTGCATGTGACCTGTTCACCTCACCCAGGGGAGAGAGAGCAGCCCTGGGTACAGGCAGAGACAGGTCTCCTGACTCGAGGGCAGCGCCCCTCCTTCAGCATCCACCCAGCACATTCCCTGGGGGTGGGGGGCAGCTTAGGGAGCCCACGCCTGGTGGGAGAGCAGCCTGAAGAAGCCTAAGACAGTGTCACGCTGTGGCCGGCTGTGTGGGTACTCGGACGCAGACCTGTCAGGAAGGTCAGCAAAGGTCTCCCAACAGAGTGACAACTGAGCTGCTAAAGAGGGGATGGAAGGAGGGGAGAGGGCCAGGAGGAGAAGGCAGCATATGCAGAGAACAAGACACTGAGAAGCAGCGGCTGGGCCCAGGCAGCCACACAGAGCACAGCCCCCTCTCCTCAACCCACCCCCAGCCCTTCCAGGTCCATCTCCTCCCTGAGCCCTCCCTCAGGGCAACACGAAAGCTGATTCAGACCTACTGCCATCTAGAGGCCCAACAAGACAAGAGTGGGACTACCCCCTGGGGCTTCTGAAGCTGTAAATCTTTATGGAGTTAGAAAACTTCTGCTGTTGGCAGAACATCTGTGATTCGTGCCCAACACTGAGTTTGCCAGGTAGGTGCTCTGGCCAATAGCAATGTCACAATAAACAGAGGAAAGGCTGGGGTTGTCAAGAGCTTCATTCGACTTGGATCCACAAGGAGCGCCCAAGGAAGCAAGCGTCATGAAATCAAACAACGTATTGCCCTGGGCAAATCTGCTGCCCAAGGGCTGCAGAGCGAGCATGTCACTTGGAGGAGGAAGGTGCCCCTGACACAAGCCATAGTATCAGTCAACGTCCTCACGCGCATGCACACACTGCCCAGAGAAGCGATGCCTTCGACTCATGCTGTTGGCAAAGAACACCGTACCACGGGCTGCGGAAAAGTGAACGAGCGGGTCTCGGAAGGACACCCTTAGAAGTGAGGATGGAGGGACTTCGTATCAAGCACTTTGGACGTGTTATCAGGAGCCAGTCCCTGAGGAAGGACATCCTGCATGGTAGTGGGAGAGAGACAGCAAAAGGAGGAAGAACTCCGACGAGAGGGACTGATCGCCATGGCTCAACCTGAACCCCTGCTGAGGATGAGGCAGGACCGGGCAGGTCCGTTCCATGGAGCTGCTATGCGTCAGCATGACCTTGACGGCACCCAACAACAGTTGCTCTCCATCTCAAGTTCACATCATTCAACGGTACCCACCTGAGGGCTTAGCTGGTGGGCACCTGGGTTCAACACAGCCTCAGAAGTGGGCACAGAGCTGGCCCTGGCAGGGTACCACACGCAAGCAGAGGAGCCTGGCTGACCCTCCATGGCAGCCTGGCAGGGTCCTGCCCCCCCCCTCACACACCTTCCGCATCCACCGTCTCCTTCATAATGATCTCCACCCTCTCCACGTGGTGCCGGCTCCAGAGGTGGTCAAAGGCCTTGCGGTTCTGGTCTCGGAATGGCAGGATCTGGGCCACGGCCTACCGAGGGAGAAGACTGGTTGAGCTCCGGGCACTGTCCAGGATGAAGACGGCCTCCACGCTCCGCTCTCACTCCTCCTGGCTTGGAGGAAAAGCCGCTCCCTAGAGCAGGCCATCCTGGGCATCAGGGATTCACAGCCCAGGAGAGTCTCCCCAAAGCCTCAACTAACTCCAGAGGGTCATCAGCCTTTTATTTGACCAAGAAAGAAAAATATTTTAACGTTTTCTCTCTTCTATTACTAGCAGCTTTTCATAAATTTAATACCAACTGTGTAGCAAGAAAGCCTCTCGATTGAATACATCCCGTACTTTTCACTGCGGGGACCTGGGCGGACACTGGCTGGTCTGCGGACCACCATTTGAGAACCAGTGCCCTGGGCAACTCCAGGGAGAGCCAGGTGACAAAAACGCCTCTGTGCTAGAGAATAAGGAGGCCTGGCAGCACTGCTGGGTAAGGATTGGACTGCTAACTGCAAGGTCAGCAGTTCAAATCCTCTAGCTGCTCAGTGGGAGCAAAATGAGGCTGTCTGTTCCTTTAAGGGTTTACAATTTTGGGAACCCTATCTAGGGTCGCTATGAGTGGTCAGTGCCAGTGGGTCTGGGTCCCAGAGTGGTGCCAGGGTCCCATGTGGTGCTCATCCACCTCATATGCTTCCCCAGCCCCGGCTTCTGGGAGCGACGGTCCACCAGCATCACCTAACAGGAAGGCAAGTGTGGTCACTGCAGAGTGCCAGACCGAATGGCCAGGAGCTTGGCGAGCACCAATGAGAGCCCGGCCTGGTGGCTGCTGGCCCAGGGCTGATTCCAGATCAACACAGAGGCCACCACCCTGCTGCCCCAACCCCCAGCAGCCTGCTCAGGACCAGAGAACACAGGGGCCAGGCACTCCCTGCTGGGGTGGCAGAGCAGATGCCGTGGAGGGCTCTGAGGACACGGTCAGCGTGAGCTGGCTGGCTCACAGGCATGGCCTGTGATGGGCAGCCCCAGGCTCCTGCTACTCAGCCGGGCTGAGAAGCTTCGTCTTGGGACCCCTTCCCTCCATTCAGCGTTGAGCTTATCACCAGCCTCCTGGCTACAAACAGGCCTCAGGACGAGCAAAAACAAAAATGGAAAGGGGAACACAGGTGGGTGGGAAATGAGAAGGTTCCTCCTCACCCTCCCCCGACACCCAACAGGAAGCTGATGCGCACAGCTACATGCAGAGGCCACACCTCCGGAGAGGGGGCAGGGTGGCCCTGCTTGATCAGAGCCCAGGCCCTGGTGGGAACCTAGATGGGGCAGGGAGACACAAAAGGACACAGCCCCCATATGCAAGGCCAGACAGGTGGGCAAGGACCAAGTCCCCTGTCCTTGGATGGCCGTGGGGGGCTCAGGCCTCACCATCCTTCAGGACTGTTGATGGGTATGCCTGCCACCAGCTCACCCCACCCCTGATAGGCCCGGCTAAAGCTCACCTGTTTGCCAAGGTAGTGGTCCACCCGATACATCTCCTCCTCCTGGAAAAAGCTCCCGAGTTCTGTGGCCAGCTGCTGGGCTGAACCGTGGTCATGGCCAAAGGGCTTCTCCAGGACAACCCGCAGCCAGGCGCCCGGGCTGGGGCGGCCGCTGCTGTTGATGTGGCGGGCGATGTCTGCGTAGGCGAAGGGCGGCACGGAGAAGTAGAAGATCCTGCCAGCCTCCCGGAGTCCCTCCTGCTGGACATGGGCCTCGATGTCCCTGTTCAGGGCCTGGTAGTCCTCGGCCGTCTTCAGCTGGCGGTACTGGCTCAGCTGCAAGAACTGCTCCTTGAGCTCAGTGCAGTGACTGGCGGCCATGCCCTGGGGGCAGGAGAGGGTCTCCAGGGTCTTGTCGATGAGCTGCTGGCCCTGCGTGGGGGCCATCAGGGCAGCCCCGTGGAAGCTGAAACGGTAACCGTTGCCCGCCTCATCCAGGTAGAGCTGGAACAGGCCCTGCCACAAGTACTTCCGGGCCAGGTCCCCGGTTGCTCCCAGCAGGACTATAGAGACATGTCCCTGGAGCTCCCCGGCTTGCAGGCAGCCCAGAAGGGCCGCGCAGGTTGCCACTGTGAGTATCTTCCAGAAGCCTGGGTGCCTGGGGCGCACGGGAGAGACAGACAAGGAACAAGGAAGGATGAGATGACAAGAAGGAAGGACACGGCTCTCGGGTCACCAACATTTCCTGCTTGGCAAGACACGGCCACGTGTCTTTTAGGAAGGTGTTATCACCCCACAACATCCCCTCCGTCCTCAGCAGCTTGGCCACCAACCATGCCAGGAAGACGAGGGGTCGTAGGGAGCCTGCCTGCACACAGGGACGGGACCAGCAAAGTCCCCTGGTGGAGACGGGGCCTTGGGCAGCCAGGAGACAGACCGGCAGGCTGGGCTTGGAGCTGTCCACTTTCCTACCATAGCCAACTCCACACAGGAGCAGAGGTAGGCTGGGCCATCGGGGCAGCCCCAGTCGGGGACAGGGAGCTGGCTCTCCGCTGACTGCCTGGACTGGGAACACATGAACAACCCCTCCCGCTTCTCTCTGTGGTTCCCCAAACGAGGAAGGAGAATTGCTTATAGCAGAGTGATTAAAAATACAGACCCTGCAGCTAACTGCTTGCAGAAGTTACTTAACCTCTGTCCTTGGTTCCTCATCTGAAATGGGGATGACGGTGGTACTCAGGCCACAGGGGAATGTTAATACTAATAGGGATGATCACCTTAGGACACTGTCTACTACCGTGTAAATGGGGGCTGCCATTGGGGAATCTTCATCAGAGCAGCAAACGCCGTGCCAAACACCGAGCGCTGGCCTGTGCCCAGCATTGAACGGGCCTGTGCCCATCATCCAGACAAATGTCCCGTAAAGAACCATATGGCTGGACACTATTACGGCGTCCCTTGTACAGATGGGAAGACTGAGACTCGGCGAGGAGTGAGTCGGGAAGCCGAGCCTGGCACCAGGCTCACTGGCTCCTGAGCCGAGTGACAGCAGTTGGTGCCCTGGCCTCTGCAGGGTAAGGCTGGTATCTTGGCTGATTGCTGACTTGGTTGGAGACAGCTGACAGGCATGAAAGGCGAGTCCTAGGGCCTGTCACACCTGTACCGCAGGGTGTTTTTCTGGCCTTAAATTCTGAGCAAGGTTGTATGGCTTAACGGGCTGAACTCTCATGACACACAGCTCCCAGCTCATTCTCCAGTTTCCCCCAACGGCTGATGTACTGGGGGAGGATTGGAAGGGATTTCAGGGAAAGTAACCCTAGCTAGTAGCGCTGACCATCTGGCCTAGATGAGAAATGGGGCCAGCCTGGGGCGGTTGGGGGAGCAGGGTGACAAAGAACGAAGATGACTGATTTAGCGCTTACTATGCACCAGGCCACGCAGCTCTGGTGGCGCTGCTGGGTAATCACTGGGCTGCTAACTGCGAGGTCAGCAGTTCACAACTACCAGCTGCTCCACAGGAGAGGCTATCTACTCCCACAAAGAGTGACAGTCTCAGAAATCCACAGGGGCAGTTCAACCCTGTCCTACAGGGTCACCATGACTCAGAATCAACTCATTGGCAGTGGGTTTGTGCCAGGCAGGAATAGTGGGTTATAAGTTGGGCCGTGAGCCACAAAGTCAGCAGTTTGACTCCATCAATTGCTCCCTGGAAAAGGATGGGGCTTTCTACTCCCATAAAGACTTGAAGGTTGAAAACTGAGGGTCACTATGAGTCGGAATCAACTCGATGGTAGTGAGTTTGAGATTTTTGTTTGTTTAGCTGTGCCAGCCATCTGAGTTTTGGTGGCGATGCGGGATACTATGGTGCTGCTAACCTCAAGGTTAGCAGTTCAAATCCACCAGCTGCTCCAAAGAAGAAAAATGAGGCTATCTACTCACATTATGACTCCCAGCCTCAGAAACCTTCTACAGGAACAGTTCTCAACCTGTGGGTCACGACCCCTTTGGGGGTCGAACAACCCTTTCACAGGGGTTGCCCGATTCATCACAGCAAAATGACAGTTATGAAGTAGCAACAAAAATAATGTTATGGTTGGGGGTCACCACCACATGAGGAACTGTATGAAAGGGTCGTGGCATCAGGAAGGTTGAGAACCACTGCTCTACAGGGTTGCAGGGAGTCGGAACTGAGTCAATGGCAGTAGGTTTGGGGGTGGGGGGGTGGGACAGGCACTGTTGCCGTGAAATCAATGCTGACCAGGCAACCCCAAATGTGACGCCATATACACTCCATAGGGTTTTCTTAGCAGTCGTCTTCCCGGAGTGGATCCCCAAGCCTTGCTTCCACAGTGTCCCTGGGTGGCTCCAACAGGCAACCTTTAGGTTAATAGTCAAGTGCAAACTATTTTGTGCTACTCAGGGACCCCTCTCAGGTGGACGTCTAGCAAGATTGCAACAATCTCATGACGCTGTCCCACTATGTCACTGACACCCACGGCCACGAAGTCGGTCCCGATGTGTGTTGCCCCCACTGGTGCAGAGTAGGACCAGGCTCTGTTGGATTTCCAAGACTGAGGATGTTCAGAAACAGATTGCCAGGGCACCTTCCGGGGCACCTCTAAGGATTTTCAAACTCCCAACCTTTGGACTAGTCAGCGCTTAACTGTTGGTGCCACCCAGGGTTCCAGAGGAAGAGAAATTGGTTTACAAGCGGAAAGTATCTTAGAAAACACCCTGGCATCTAGCACTGCAGAAACTGTCAGCTCACCTTCTCAGTCAACCCTTCTCCCAGGGGGGTCAGCTCTGCCCCTGGACGCAGGCATCAGACCCCTCTTCCCGTTTCCAGCCTGAGGACACTGCAGTGTCTGCCTGGTGGCTGCAGGACACCAAACATCTGCTCACTGAGACTTCCCCTCAATGGGAGCTTCAGCTTCCGAAGAAGCAGCCAGGGACGTGACCATCTGAGGGGCTCGCCCACCTTCCTCTTCCACAGTCCCTCCATCTGCACTCACCCCCAGATCCACAGAGGGCCACAGGGCCACCCTCCTCTCCTGCTTTCCAACCCCTGTCCCCGGCTCTCAGAGCAGTCCTTCCCCATCTGGCCCTCGCCCCTGTCTGGAGGGAAGGAAACACTGCAAGGTCGGGGGAGGGAGGCGGGGAGAAACCCAAAGCCCAGAGAACAGCCTGGTGAAGGCGCAGCCGCCAGCTGGCAGCTCCTGAGTTGTCCTGAGTGCCAGGGCTCCAGGACGTGCCTGGTACAAGGGGAGGAGCCCAAGAACCTCAGAATGCCTGGGCAGGAAGGGGCGGGGGGGCCCCAACCCCCTCAGAAGACTGCAGCTAAACTTGATGCCTGACCCCACGGGCCCTGCTCTGACTGGGCTTGCTACGGTCCCGCCTGCCCAGCTTTGCACTGGGCCCCCAGTTCTCAGGCCCACTTCCGTCTCCAAGTACAAACTAGAGGTTACCGGGCATTTCGACATGAGTGTTTGCTGTGTGGTTGCTAAACAGCCGGGGAACGACTCTCTCCCAAGCTGGAGTGGGTGGTATATATACGTGTGTTCAAAATGGATCTTTTTTTATTACCACAGGGTGTTTTTTTTTCCATCTTAATGTGTGTCTCAATCCTTAATGTGCCTTCCAAACTCCCAGAGATCTTTTTTTAAATGTAGATTCTGATTTAGAAGGTCCGGGAAGGGGCCAGGGACATCAGGCAGTGGCATCAAGGGGGAGAAGTCAAGCAGAGGAGGGGTCCAGTGCATGCACGCCCTCCACCCCTTCTCTCCACAGGGACCTGAGGCAGGTTTGGCAGGGCTGGGAGAGATCAAGGGAAGGGCTTTCAAAGGAGCCTGGATTTACAGTCTCTCACCCCCAGCAAAAGCGGGTGGGTAGCTAACTGTACACCGGCCGGTAGTAACAGCTGATGTCAACCAAGTCCCTTGCTTAGATGCTCGGCCCCCATCCTTCCTCACAACAGTCCTGTGGCGACTCTCACTTTACAGACCAGCAAACAGGGAGGTGAGATAACAGACTGGCACATCACAAACGCCATGTTCCGGGTCACGAGGCTGCACAGCTTCCCTGGCCCCGAGCAGGTGCAGGGAGTTTGGGCCAGAGCTATGTTAGAGGTCACTCCCTACCTGCAGGTTCTAGGGAGCGACCTTAGCTGCTGCCTTAATGAAGGCAGCTAGGCTATTTGGGTCCACGTCTCTGCATCTACAACGCTGGGTTAATACCACCAGCCTCAACGGGAGGCTGTGAAGATGAAATGAGATGATACATGTGGCCCACCCTTATACAGGTGCTAATTAAGTTAATTAAATTAGTTAAATACAAAGTGTCTCCTGGCCCCCAAGGGGGCACGGGGCCTTAGTGCAGCTCTCTCATCTCCTAGGGCTGCAGCAGGGATGACGAACAAGTCCTTCCCGACAAACACGCGCACACACGCACATGCACGCACACACCTGCATTCTCGGTCCAAACCTTCCTCCCTCCTGCCTCCAGAGAAACCGCTATGCTGCAGAAAAGCCCCGCTCCATGGCTCTCTGTCACCCTCCCAGAAGCAGCTCATCAGGCTTTGCTTCCATGGCATTCATTGCCCGGCGAGTTCCAAGCACCAACCTTTCGGTTGGCAGCTAGGAAAGAACTCTTTGGAAGTCGAGTAGCTGCACTGAGAAGGTGAGCCTAGGAGCCCTGGGCAGGCGCTGAAGCCACTGTGGGGCCAGAAGCACAGGGCATCTGATTGGGCACTGGATTCGGGGGCTTCCTGTCCAGGCCCTGATGTTGAACAAATGACTGTAAGGGACTGGGCCTCAGTTTCCTCCCCTGAAATGAAGGAATGGGGCGAAACGTGTCTATGGCATTTTCTTAACCCAGGAAACGAAACCAATGGCCGTCAAGCCGATTCAGACTCACAGTGAACCCCCTTGTGCAGATGAGAACCGGGCTTCACAGACTGGGAGAGGCTGTGACCGCCTGGAAGTAGATCACCTGGCCTTTCTTCCTGGGCGCCTATAGATGGATTGGAACCACCAACCTTTCCATGAATAACTGGGTGCTTAACCACTGATGCCACCCAGGCACTCCTAAGCCCTGTTCCCCAAGGAAAGGGATTAGGTGCCAGTGAGTGGATTCGAACTCACAGCAACCACATGTGACAGAGTGGAGCTGCCCTACAGGGTTTGCTGGACTGTCCTCTTGACAAAAGCAGATCCTGGGTCTTTGTCCTGCAGAGGACCCGAGGGGGTTCCAGCCACCAGCCTTCTCCTTAGCAACCAAACACTGAACTGTTTGTACCCCCAGGGCAGGGGTGGCAAGCTCTCGTCTTGGTGCTTTGGACAGGTTGTCAGGAGAGACCGGGCCCTGCAGAAGGACATCGTGCTTGGTCAAGTAGAGGGGCAGTGAACAAAAGGAGGCCCTGGGCAAGATGGGTTGACTGGGCAAGTGTGGCCAGTTGGCCTGGGCAAGTTGATGGGCCCTGGGCAAGTGTGGCTGCCACAACGGGCTCTGCCCTAAGAACGATTGTGAGACCATTGCAGGACCGACCGGGCAGTGTCTCGCTTTGCTGGGCACAGGTCACTCTTGAGTCCGAACCAACTGGATAGCACCTAACAACCACCACCAGCACACCAGGGCCACCTCTGGACTAGGAGTCCCCTGGGGCTTGCTTAGGGCCAGGGGAGTGCTTGCAGCCGAGCCCCTGCAGCAGGGAAGGAGGAGAGAGCTCCAAAGTACAGAGTGGTGAGCAGACACGCGGATGGCAGGTGTCCTTCAGACATGGAGAGACAAGGCGGTAAAGGCACACCTTCCCATGCGGAGGAAGAGAGTGCCTTCACGACAAGTCTCAGGCCCGAGTTGCCCGGACCCCCCCACACGAAGCAAGCACGGGGCTGTGTGCGTGCGTGGAGGGTCACCCTCCAGGGGGGTATAGAAGTAGGTTTCCTAACAGGCTCCCTTGGCTACAGTCATGTGTCATGGCCCCCCTTCGCTGCCCCAACTGTGCATCTCAGAGGCTCCTACCAGGCAACACACAGACTCACCTTCTAGGGCCCTGCTCAGCTTGCATTGCCAAAGGTGTGAGTACTAGCTTGGCCTGCCGAAGGGTCTGGATGGAACCCAGGGCTCCGGTCTTTGTTTTCGTCCCGGCGAGAGGGGCAGCTAACAGTTGTCCCTGGTCAGCCCACGCAGCCCAGCCTGGACGGGAGTCCCCGTAGCAGAGCGGGTTCTGGTCACCCACAGCCTTCGGCTCAAAGCCTCTCTTCCAGGCTGGGGGTGGCGGGTCGCGGCAGAAAGGAGTTGGGCAAAGGTCAGTGCTGCTGCCCCGTCCCTTTCCCAACTCCACCTCACACCTTTGGCTTCTTCCCAGGGCAGGAGGGCAAATGGAAATTTCCCTATCATCACAGCCCACGGAGTCTGGAAATTTAGAAAGAATCCGTGGGCAGAAGACAAAAGTTCATCTTAACTAATGCACAAGATGTGCCCAGGTTTGGATTCAGAAGCTAGCTCAAGTCTTTCCCAGGACTCTCTGCTTCTAGACCTGGCCCATCCTTCCGTGCCAAAGCCCGAGTGCAGACACCAGTCGGTCAGTTCCGATCCGCCCTCGGATCGCTCGAGGCAGGAACAGGGGCTGGAGTACGGAGGCCAAGCTGTGCTGCACTTAAACCTATGGTTGTCAAGGCCACTCCAACCCAGCCAGAGCCAAACTACTGGGGGGAAAGGGGGTTTATCCAAAGCTATAATCTTGACTGTCACTTCTCTCTCTCCCACAGCTCGGCGGCTGATTCAAACTGCCGATCTCTCGGTTAAGCTGCCAAATGCTTAACCACTGTGCCAGCAGGGCTCCTCCCTGTTGCCCGGATTCCTCCCTGGTCTCAGAGGATCCTCGTTTCCATCACTTCCCTTGGGTCACTATAAGTGGTGGTGTGCTGGAGTCAGCTGGTCTCTACAAAGCCCGTTATCAACAGTCATTATTAAGAGTAATTACATAAAGTTACAATTCCATAAAGTCGATGAAAAACAAAGGCAATAATCAATGCTCAAACCCACCACTGCCTCGTCACGTCACTAGGTTTGACTAGGATCAGTGCTCTGGCCATGATGGATGGCTGTTCTATGGTGATGTTATCCTTGGGCGCTGTGCTTGAATGCTGGTCAGAAAGCCAAGCCAAACTCATTGCTATCCAGTCAACGCTGACCCATAGCGAGCCTGAAGGACAGGGCAGAACTGCCCCTGTGAGTTTCTGAGACTGCACTCTTAAAGAGAAGTAGAAAGTCTCATCTTTCTCCCGAGGCACGGCTGGAGGGTTCAAATCGCCGAACTTGTGGTTAGCAGTCTAACGTGTAACCACTACGCCGCCAGGGCTCCTCAAATACTGGTCAGGGGGGACTCCTTACACCACAGAAATCGACCAGTCCTATAAAACAGAGGTCCCCAAACAGCCCTGGCCCCGGCAAAGTCAATTAATCCATATTTATTGGCACATCACTGTTTATAGTCCCAGATCTTTACCTCCAGTCTGATTTCTCCTCCTGCACTCGACTTGCACCACCAACTGCCTCTTTGTTGGAATCACGTGGCCGTCTGCACGACTCACCGGCTGATCTTCCAACCTGCTCCAAACGGGGGTCCCCATCCTCAGTGTTTAGGGCACACCCCTTGGAAATCCTATAGATTCTATCTTCAAAATGTACCCACATTATAAACGTTCCTGGCCACCTTCCAACACTCTACCCAGGTCCTCAAAACCCAAACCATCACCCTCACCTCAATTCCCACTCACAGTGCCTCTGTAGGGCAGGGTAGAATGGTTCCCTACGAGACGCCACGGCCACATCCCTCCCCTGCACAGAGCTGCTGGCTTTAAACCACCGGTAATTCAGTCCTCTGGTGAGCACTTAACCAGGGTGCCACCAGGCCCCTTCCACGCCCGCCCTAGCCACCGTCATCTCGGTCTGCATTACTGCTAGAAGCACCAACCTTTGCTCCTTCTGCTGCTAAGCCTCAGCTCAGCTCAGGCCCTGCCACTCCTATTCTGACACCTTTGGGGTGCACGTAGTCTGCCGGCCACCATCTCTTCGTTGTCCTCCTCTACTCCTCTGGCCTCTCCAGGCTCCACCGCCCTGCCCCCTGCCTCAGGGCCTTTGTACCTGCGCCCTCCGCCTGGCCCACTCTCCCCTCGTCAACGTGGTTCACAGCCTCACGGTATCAATGCTTGCTTCAAGTGTCACCGTCCCACGAGGGTTCTCAGCCCGCTGCGGGAAGCCATAAGCCACGCTCGCCGCCTCATGCTCTCCACCCTCCTCCCTGCTTTACTTCTCTCTGGTGGCGAGGTGACACGTGGGGCTGCTGCCTGCAAAGTCTGGAATTCAAAACCACAAGCCGCTCCTTGGGGGAAATTTGAGACTTTCTCCTTCCATAAAGAGTGACCTCTCTAGTTCCTAAATGCTTCCTCCGTCCCCAACTATCATGATCCGAATTCTACCTTGCAAGTCTGGCTAGACCAGAGGATGTACACTGGTACATATAGGAACTGGAAACACAGGGAATCCA